CGCGATGGGGTGGCCAGGGGTAAAGGACCTGAAGGTGCTTTGTCTTAGTTTTGGTCCGTGGCGAGTGCATTGACGCGGGTCGCCAGGGACGTTGAAGGGTCTTTTCGCACCTTGGGGAGGATCAAAATGACACGCCAGGGTAGGCAGGGCGGTCGCACGTGCCACCGTCGATGATGCTGTTTCCCGCCGCAGTACAGAAGCCCGCCGCGCCTGCTGCACAGCGACTGCAACGACGTGGGAGTGGTACAAGCCTGCTCATCGCGGATAAATGTCGCCTGCTCCCTGCGGACATCTTTAGTGACAACCATGCCGCCATTCAATCGACCCAGCAACTTCGCGCACGACGACCATGGACATGGGCCACGTCACAATTCCTCCCGCCTATCGATCGCACCAACCCACGTCCTCCCGCTCCCCCCCCCCCCCCCCCCCCCCCCCCCCCCCCCCCCCGTCCGCATGGTCCTACATCAGAGCCAGGCGGTCTCGAAGTGCATCCCGCAACAAGTCCCCGTCCACGTTCGTGCTCCGGCGCCACCTGCCCGCGCCGTTCCCCACAATGCCCAAGTCTACTCTACACCGAACGCCGTTCTCATCCACCTCCCACAAAAGGTTCTCATCGAAGTCGATCCCCTCGTCGAGGAGGATGTTGTGGAGAGTGCACACGACCACGAATTGTTGTGCCAAGGTCTCCAGGTTCGTCTTGTGGGTGCGCAAGAACAGACGCCACATGCACTTCAGTCGCCCGAATGCCCTCTCCACACAACCCCGCGCCACCTTCTGCCGCGTGTCGAAGCGCTTCTCGTCAGGACCTTGGTCCATTCCTCTGTACGGCTGCACGATCTATGGACAGGCAACTGGATAACCGTTGTCGCCTAGCAGGTAACCTCGCGTGACGACACCGTGCGACAGATTCTCAGGAGGTGCCTCGAACAGCTCGCCAGCTTTTGCACGCCTCCACAATTGGGAATTGTGCAGGACACGGACGTCGTGCAAACTTCCCGGGTATCCGTCGTGGACGTCGAGGATCCGCAGATCCAAATCCACCACCACCTGCGTCTGCACGGAGAACTTCAGTCTGCGTTCGTAGTAGTTCGCCGGCGGGCTAGTCAATGTAGATGTGTGTACAGTCGATTGCGTCGAAGCAGTTCGGTAAACCCTTGTCACGGAAAGCGCGCAGAATCTGTGCACGTCTACGGCCCATTGGCCACATTATCGCGTCGGGGTACGCTTGCAGCAGCGCCGAAGTGACGTCGCGGACGGCCTGCAGTCCAGTTGCCCTGCCGATGCCGAAGGCTGACGTGCCGCTCTCGTACGTCTCTCCTGACGCCCACCTGTACAACGCAAAAGTGATCACCTGCTCCACTGGCAATGGCATCCTATAGTGCGTGACCTTCTTCTCCACATACGCGGCGCACGCGACTACAATCTGCCTGAACATGCCCATCGACATGCGCAACTTCTGCCGGTAGTACTCGTCCGTCGCGTCATCACACAGGCGGAGGTCCTCCCATGTTCCGCCAGTCCGTCGTCTAGTCCACCAACGCGGGGTCTGTCGCGGGAAAACGTCAGATGACAGTGCGGCGCACAGCTGAACGACTGCCTCACACGTGGCCACGCAATCCGGCGCTTCGGCAATGCTCCGCAACAGCGCTCTTCGTTTACGGAGCTGCGTCAGCATGTCACATGAGGACGACGACATGCTGCTCATCGTGTTGACGACGACGGCAGTCACCGCCATCGCCACCGCGTCGATCTCTTCTTCGTGTAGACCGTGCCCGCAGCCGCGAACGTCCATCTCTGAGAATCGTTCCGCCTCTACAGCGTGACGCCTGCCACAGCCGCCAAAGACACGCCCGCTGCTCAACCCTCCAGCAGATCCAAATCCATGCACGCTGGAGCCGAAGAAGCGCCCGCCGTTGTACGCTGCCACAGGAGAGGACGTGCGCCGGAGCCGAAGACGCGCCCGCTGCTCTACGCTTCCACATGACAGCACGCACAGCGGAGGTGAAGATGCGCCTTGCAGGAAGATGCGCCCGCTGGTCACAACTTGCGTGGACTTGGAAGACGGATACCCACGCCGAACGGTTCGCCAGCGCCGTCGTTTGTATGTCACACGCGGCGCCTGGCCATCCTCCGCCCCGCCACCCTGCGTCCGCGGAAATTCGAATTTGAATTTTCGAAGTTCAGGATGACCGGGCTTTTCACCGCCCCCTCCTCACCCGCCCAAGGGCCTCCGCGGTTTGTACCACGGACACCAGCCAGGAATGGATGGACATCGGCGGCGCGGCTGCGTATACGCATATGAAAACCTGGCATACTTCAAATTCAATCTGTATATGGGACGCTGGGCCCGTTTTCCAGCAGGTGATGCTCCCCACCAATAGATGGAGCCTCTCCCCAGGTGCTAGTGGTGTCTGCTCTTATCAGCACCACTAACACCGCAGGGGGCACGTTTAAAAAAAAAACAAAAACAAAGGTCTCACTCTCATCAACTGCGGTGTGAAGGTCTCTTGGTCCTGCCTCCCACTAGGTCAGCAAGTTTTAAACACATGACCTCATCTATGCAATCTTCTATCGAACCTACTGAGCTACTGCAGAAACTGAATGATTTGTATGCAGTATCGGACTTGAAGGCAAATGAAAAATCATCCTGAAGTACGCAAGCCCACAAAGGACCACTAGAACCAAGAGCATCAGGCACACATCACACAGCCCAAACCCGACATACAACAACCATGGACTTGCCTGTGGGCGGCGAGCAAGCAGTGTCTGTAATAACTTACCTGCGTCAGCCCAGGGGAGTGTGTCCAGCCGTGCTTCATTGTAATGCCCTGCCAGCATCCATGCACAAGGCTGCGGAGTTTTGAACCGGCAACCTCATACCACATGTGCATTTCCAACCGGTGCTCAAACCACTGAGCCACATCAACTGGACTACCGGTAGGCTCAAAGCCACGCCACGTTTGATTCTCAGGGAAGTACTTATGCTTGATTCTTTGTCTACGCCACGTAGGGCGTCTACGAAAGACCCATGCACCAAGTCGTTAAAATATCCGGAAAGTAGAAAAAAGAAAAAGAACAGAAAAAAGAAAGAAATATCAGGAAATCCATACGGTGAAAGATTGCAGAGCATTCCTGGAGCATTTCGAATGTGCAGAAATGGCCTTGAGTATCTTCAACCGCACATCTCCACAAACACGTCCAGATTTAGGCGTTGAGTAAACTCAATGATGATATCTCCTTTTTTTTTACCAGAAGAAAGACATCATTCCATTATATGCCACAAAACGGGTGATGATATCTCCGCTGTCACCCTTGAAATAAAAAAACAGAAAAAGACTGGCGGGTGTACTTTGCCAGCTGAAAAAAAAAAGGAAAAAAAAAGAAAAGAAAGAGAGGAATACATGCGCCAGTGCTGGAGCATGCTCATCCGTTCCGTACGTTCTTACAAATCGGGCCAGCGAACGCAGAATCATTTGCATGACGGCTGAACTGCGAGGCCACGTAAGGGCTGGCAAGCTGGTCGGTGGCGAGAGGGCGATTCGCGGCTACCGGTAGCTCGTCTAGTCATAAAGTCGGCTTCATCACGCTGACTGAAACCCTACTCTTCTTTCCGCGAGAGCCACCGCAGTCGTGCCGGAGAAGAGCGAGTGTTACTGGGCGCTGTGCATGTGTTCGTGACGAAGAGGAGAGCGTGTGACCGGGCGCTGTGCGTGTGTGTCACACAGTCAGAGAGAGAGAGAGAGAGAGAGACAGAGACAGAGACAGAGAGAGAGAGAGAGACAGAGACAGAGAGACAGAGAGAGCTACCGCAGTCGTTGCGAAGAGCAGCCCGTGCGACTAGAGGTTGGAGAGGTGACACTGTGTGTGTGTGTGTGTGTGTGTGAGAGAGAGAGAGAGAGAGAGATAGAGAGAGAGAGGAGCGCAGCCCGTGTGACGGGGGGCTGAAGAGGTAACTCTGTGTGTGTGTGTGTGTGTGTGAGAGAGAGAGAGAGAGAGAGAGGGAGGGAGGTACTCTAGTGACTGGGGGGGTGGGGGGCGGGGGAGAGAGAGTGCTTATGTAGTTCGTACCTGCCCCATTTCTTTTGCTCTCGTCGGCTGCCACGTTGGCAGCAGACCGAGGGGAGGGCCGGTTCGCGGTGTGCCCGACGGGTAGAGGACGTTGGAGCGGCGACCTGCCGACGACGGTCGTCGCGCCGGTCCGTGGCTTATCGGTCGCCTGCGCGGCTCTCTCTCCCTGGGAGGCAGTGTGCTAATTTGGCGTGGGACGGCGGACGGCGACCATCAGGGGTGCCGGCGACGACCGGTCCGTCTCTCCTTCCCATTCGTCCGTGATTTGACCGTGCCTGGTAAGCCCTCCGGTCGCTGGGCGCGCGGTCGCTCGGTGTGCGGTCTCTCTTGGCTTGTGGTCGCACAGCTGAGAGTTTGGTCGTCGCCCAGGTGTGTCGGTCGTCACACAGATTGACGACGACGACGACGACGGCCTTCTGTTGGGCTACCGGTCGCCGGGGGCGGGTATCATCAGTTGGAAGCGTGGCACCCCCTAGGCGACCGGTTTGTCGCGCAGTGAGAGAAACGGGTCGGTCGTGGGACATGCATGATCGGCGACCGGTCGTCGGCGAACGATTTGCTGGCTGTGCGTTGCAACGCTTTTCCCCCGTCGGTCGATCCAGTACGTTGTCTCGGATCGGCTTCGGTCGGGACGGGCCGGGACCCGGTTTTGTGCTGCTGCCGTAGCTGCGCGCCGTCCGGAGTAATAAGCACGTCCGACTCGCAGGTCGGGACGTCCACGTCATCATCGTCGTCGAGGAGTTCTCCACGTTATCATCGTCCTGGAATTTGCCGAGTCCCGACTGCGATCGCGACTGCAACGTCGAAATGATCTGGACGACGTCGCTTGACACGTGGAAGACATGGAAAAGAAGAGGTCAGTATTTTATTATTTTTTCTCTTTTTTTTTCTACAACAAAGACTCCCCTCAGTATTCTTGTCCCGACATGCACACTCGGACGTTGAAGGTTACCTTTTTTATTATTATTATGATTACTATAATTTATTTATTTATTTATTATTATCATTTATTTATTTATTATTATTATTTAATTTATTAATTTATTTGTTTATAAATTTATTTATTATTTATTATTTATTTGTAGTCGGAGGCTATCGTAGGTGCGCTTTTTTTTTTTTTTTGCCTCTCTCTCTCTTTGTACAAAAGGGCGTAGCTCAGTTACTTTCTTTCCCCCGAATACAACGTGCGGTCATTATAGTCTGTATATAGACTGTAAGATACCCCAAATGAAGCTTAGTGCGTTGTATTGGGGGGAAGAAGGTAGTACACAAATGAAATGTAGAAAAACAGACCCGAGTCCGAATCCAGATGTAATTAGATCAAAAGAATAAGGGGCCTCGCTGCAGTACTCTCGACATGCACAAAAGACAAAAATATTGGCCGTGTATCTTTCCATATTCTAGCGTAAGATTCACTCTCGTTTTGGACATTTCGAGAGTAGTGCAGCGAGGCCCTAAGACAGTTTTCCTTGCTTTTTTGTTCTTGTTTTTTTATTTGTCGAATCTCCTTTATTTGTAACGACGGATTGGGCCTTTTATTCTTCGAATCCTTTTTGTTTTTCTCACCCCGTCGGACGGAATACAGAGCTTTATTATTTGTTGTTTTGTTCTATTTTCGGACGCTCTGTCAATCTGTCCTCCTGTGTGTCTTGAAGTCTTGTTGTTTTCCTCACCCCGTCGGACTAGAAGTCTTGTTGTTTTTCTACAAGACTACAAGTCTTGTTGTTTTTTCTATTTTCGGACGCTCTGTCGATCTGTGCCCCTGTGTGTCTGTGATTTTTGTGTTTTCTTTTGTTCCTCTCTCTCTCTCTCTCTCTCTCTCTCTCTCTCTCTCTCTCACACACACACACACACACACACACACACACACACACACACACAGATCTCAATCCAAATCCGAATGGAATCAGATGAGTGAAAATA